AGCAAGGCCTCACAGACCCTGTGCTCTCTTCTCTCCCTCCGCTACTTCCCCCTCGCCCTTCTCCCCCCCACCCCTGCAGCTGCCATCTGATTACATTAACTGGAAGATTCTCCATGTATTTGTGGATCACAGTGGGTATTTCACAGACATTAATGCAGACAGGTCTGGAAAGATGAATGATGCACATATCTTTCAGAACACTCAAGGCCTCACAGACCCTGTGCTCTCTTCTCTCCCTCCGCTACTTCCCCCTCGCCCTTCTCCCCCCCACCCCTGCAGCTGCCATCTGATTACATTAACTGGAAGATTCTCCATGTATTTGTGGATCACAGTGGGTATTTCACAGACATTAATGCAGACAGGTCTGGAAAGATGAATGATGCACATATCTTTCAGAACACTGGTCTGTTCAGGAAGCTGCAGGCAAGGACTTTCTTCACAAACCTGAAGATCACTGTAGGGGACGTCTCACTGTCCACTGTGCTCTTGGGAGACTCCACTGACTCATTAATACCATGGCTCATGAAGCCATATACTTGGAGCCTCTATGTGTCACATAGCAAACAGGAAGTGGACTTTCAAAATTCCCCAAGGAATATAAAGGGCAGTTCTGAGGGTTGGTCACCTGAGTGCAGGGCAGCAGAGTTGAAATAAGTGACTAGAGGAGTGAAAACAGGCATTGTGGGACAGGTACCGGAGGCCTGTCACAATGCTGTAGCACAACACAGCATCCACACTGGCACCCCAGTGTGTAGCCAGAGCACAGCAAACTATGCCTCTCATTGTGGTTTACCTAGAGCATAAGCAGTTGTCAAATTAATAGTGCCATGAACTGATTTACTGCTCTGTAACTTGCCAGTGTAAACAAGGTCTTAGGCAAACAGGCTTCTTTACATTTACAAGCGGTAATACTATCTCTTTTTTACAATGTCAGGAAAAAGTGAGAATGGGCATTTGCATGGCATTTCTGTAGCTGGTTTTGCAAGGTATTCATGTGCCAGATATGCTAAACATTCGTATGCCTCTTCATACTTTGACCACCATTCTAGAAGACAGGCTTCAATGCTGGTTTTAAAAAAGTGTTAATTAAAATTAGGTCTGGATTCTGTGGAGAATTTTATGTCCCCATCTCTGTAAGAGGTAGATCTCAGATAATGAAAATTAATATGAATCAGACTGCATTGATTTGGATTGTTCTTTAGCAGAAACTGTTATCAACATAGACATATGTCCTCTGGAATAGTGATTGAAGCATGAAAGGACATATGAATCCTTAGCATATCTGGCACCTATCTTGCGTCACTGGCTACAGCAGTGCCATGAGAACGTCTGTACTCACTTTCAGGTGACATTGTAAACAAGAAGCAGGTAGCATTATCTCCTGCAAATGTAAACAAACTTGTTAGAGTGACTGACGGAAAAGAAGTAGGACTGAGGAGACTTGCAGGCTCTGAAATTTTGCATTTCATTTATGAATGCAGTTTTCTCTGTATATAATTCTACATTTTTCATCAGTCTGTTTCAGAGTGCATCACAGTCATTAATGTATTTATCCTCACAAGACACAATATTGTACTCTACATCTAAAAAGAATAGTTATTACATCTATTACTCAAAAGTTATTACATCAGTTAATCAAAATATTGCTTAAAATAATTCAACCTTTATTGAGAAATATAGAAATTTATATTAGTTATTTTCTGTTTGCCTCTAAAAATGATGGCATGCCCATAATATCTCATTCTGCTTTAGCGAGATATTGTCAACTTGCCAGTTAACAAAATGCCATATTTATAATATAGGCACAATACTCTGATTATAAATGTCATAACGTTTTAACTTGTGTGTATATCAACATTAACTTCTTTGTGGTATATATTATTCTGCAGGGTTAACCTGTAGTATACAGAAATATAATATGTATTTTTAAAAACTCAGAATTAGTTTTATCTTGCTGCCTACTACTTAGAAAATGTATGTAACTTTCTGTTTTTCCTTGTAGAACAATGACACTGAAGATGAGGAAAGATTGTGGAGAGATCTGATTATGGAGAGAGTCACAAAGTCTGCAGATGCCTGTCTTACTGCTATCAACATTATGACATCACCCCATATGCCTAAAGCTGTGTATATTGAGGATGTAATAGAAAGAGTTATTCAGTACACTAAATTTCATTTGCAGAACACCCTTTATCCTCAGTATGATCCTGTCTACAGAGTGGATCCTCATGGCGGTTAGTGTATTAATAAATAAATGAGTGTATTTAAGCACATGTGCTGCATAAGATTTAAATGTGACCAATTCTGTTAGATGTGATATGCAAATAACTTGTTATCCCTATGCAATTCGCTAGATTCAAGACTTAATCTTGAGACACCTGTTTCCAATGTCCTCTGAATAAAGAAGGATGAATGTTTCATCTGATTTTAAGAAAAAGGCAATTTACAATGGTAAATTGTAACCCAAAATGACAGAGGAAATGAAACTCATCCTCCTCTGAAACAAGCACTGTATAACACACAGGCTACGTCTAGACTGGCATGATTTTCCGCAACTGCTTTTAACGGAAAAGTTTTCCGTTAAAAGCATTTGTGGAAAAGAGCATCTAGATTGGCACGGACGCTTTTCTGCAAAAAGCGGTTTTGCGCAAGAAAGCCTCGATCTCCATTTTCGCGATCGGGGCTTTTTTGCGCAAAACAAATCTGAGCTGTCTACACTGGCTTTTGCGCAAAAGGACTTTTGCCCGAACGGGAGCAGCATGGTATTTCCGCAAGAAGCACTTATTTCTTACTTGAGATCGTCAGTGTTCTTGCGGAAATTCAAGTGGCCAGTGTAGACAGCTGGCAAGTTTTTCTGCAAAAGCAACTTTGCAGAAAAACTTGCCAGTCTAGACACAGCCAAAAGGTCTGCACTTACCTGTGTCAAGACCACGCTAACTAAAAGTTGGTCTCTAAAATTAGAGTTCTTAATTGATATATTATGTACCTAAATAATTGGTCTGACGTTCATGATCCCTGAATACCCAGCAGCTTCTATTCATTTCTTTTAGTGGTCAGTTTGCATTTTTGAAAAAAAAATTATTCTTGATGTGGGTGAAGAGTAAAAAATACAGCAATTTTAACAGAAAGGTATTGCAAAGAAAAATGCTATTTCAGGGGAGCTTTCCATCTGTGCTACTAGGGAGGCAGAAAACTGGGACACTGGAGCATATCCATCTGGCTCACCTCTGACCCCTTGCTTAGACTTCCTGTGAAGCAGAGAGCTTCTCTTCTCAGCCTTCAAATCTTCTTCCGCTGTTTTTGCAGCCAAAGAAATGGGTGCCATAAGAACAACCATATGGGGTGAGACTAAAGGTCCATCTAGTTTAGTATCCTGATTTCCAACACTGGCCGATGGCAAGTGCGTTGGGGGGAATAAACAGAACAGGTAGTCATCAAGTGATCCATCCTATCACCCATTTCCAGTTTCTGGCAAAAGGCAGTAGGGATACCATCCCTGCCCATCCTGGGTAATAGCTAGTGATGGACCTATGCTACATGAATTCATTTAGTTCTTCACTGTTACAGTCTTGGCCTTCACAATGTCCTTTGACAAAGAGTTCCACAGGTTGACTGGGTTGTGTGAAAAATTACTTCCTTTTGTTTGTTTTAAACCTGCTGCCTATTAATTTAATTTGGTAATCCCTAGTTCTTGTGTTGTAAAAAGGAGTAAATAACACTTCCTTATATACATTTTCCACACCCATTCTGATTTTATAAACCTCTATCATATCTTCCCTCAATGTCTCCTTTCCAAGTTGTAAAGTCCCACTGTTATTAATCTTTCCTCACATGGAAGCTGTACCATACATCATTTTTGTTGCACTTTTCTGTACATTTTCTAATTCTAGTACATCTTTTTCTGAGGTGGAATAACCACATTTGCAGAGTATACAAGATGGAGGTGTACCATGAATTTATAGAGAGGCAATATGATATTTTCTCTTATCTAGACCTATTCTATTGTATGTATAGTTGGAATTATATTTTCCAATGTGCATTACTTTGAAATTATCAACATTGAATTTAATTTGCTGTTTTGTTGCTGAGTCACCCAGTTTTATGAGATTGCTTTGTAACTCTTTTGTAATATCTTCAATAATTTTGAATCACCTTCAAATTTTGCCACCTCACTGTTTACCCCTTTTTCCAGATCATTTATAAATATATCAAATAGTACTGGTTCCAGTACAGATTCCTGGTCGACTCCCTTGTTTACCTCTCTCCATTCTGAAGACTGGCATTTTATTTCTACCCTTTCTTTCCTATCTTTTTAACCCATTATTGATCCATGACAGGACCTTCCCTAGAATCCCATGACAACTTACTTTGCTTAAGGTAGCTGGTGTGCTCTACCTCACTGGCCTTTGTGTTGTGGGAGAGATTGTGCGGCTTAGCACCCTTGATATCCTACAGCTAGGCTAGTGGTAGTATGAAGAGCAGTGTTCCCTGTAAACTGTGCTCCTATGCAGCTGCTCAAGAGCAATTCAAATCCTGCCCAGTTGCTTAAAAGAGGGCACACAGCTAGTCTTTTTTTTCTTCTCATGGTGAACATTTGTACATCCCTGAGTGCATATAAAATGTATTGCACACATTAGTAGAAAAAATTCACACATAGGGTGGAAAAGATTAGATGGAACATTGATGAAGAGCCCCTACTCTCAGCCTCTGGCAGCTTGAGTTGGGGGGATAGCGGAGTAGCACACAGAGAATTCCATCTTGGCAGCCTTCCTATGAAAGGCTCTTAAAAAGTTCACTTCAGAAAGTGAGATTGACAAAATCCTTCAAAGCAGACAGCCAAGGAGCCATCATTTTGATTTTTCAGTCTGCAAATCAAAAAATTTTGGTAAAATAGAAATTTCTGTGATAAATTTCAATTTTGTAATAAGGGAATTTTCTATAAGAAATTCATTCTGGTTGGAAATTCCCAACTGGCTCTATTTCTGGATATAATAGACTAACTTTAACTACCATATTGAAAATCTTGGCCCAACAATCCATAAAAAATAAGAAATTATTTGTAATAACAATCCTTCTAGTTAGTGCTGAGAGATTACTTGTCTGACAGCTTTTTGTGCTAAAATTTTTTTATAAAGTACCTATTTATTTATTAAAAAATATCATGTTCTTAAAGTTGAATCAAATGTAACTTGAAAGGCTTGCGGATGTATCGTTTTATTTACTTTCTAGGAGGTGTTTTAAGTTCAAAAGCAAAGCGTGCCAAATGTTCCACCCACAAGCAGAGAGTTATAGTGATGCTGTATAACAAAGTATGTGACATTGTTAGCAGTTTGGCAGAATTGCTAGAGATACAGCTCCTTACTGACACAACTATTCTTCAGGCAAGTATCATCAAAAGAATTTCCATTGTAGAATGAATATTTTTTAAATGATTCTGAAGTTTGATTATCTTGTCAATCACATTAAATGTAAACTAGTGATGTTAAACTATGTTTAATCAGCTAATCAAGTAATTGATGAAATTTCAATTGACTATTTGATTGGTCGTGGGGAGGGGGGGGGGGACTAAAAAGCTAAAAAGCCACAGCAGGCTGTGGCTCTGCCTTTTAAATGTACTGAGAGTTGCTCTTAATACATTTAAAAGGCACAGGTGCACTAGGGAGAAGAGACTGGGCACAAGCCAGGAATGGGCTGAGAGCGACCTGGTCCCACCACTATTCCTCTGCCACCCCTACCCCTCATGGAGATGGTAACTGTGGGGAACTGGCTTTTAAGATGGCTCCCTGTAGTCCCCAGCACCGGCTCCTGCTCCCCACCCTTGCTGCCTCTCTTTGAGAGGCAGTGGGGGTGAAAGGGGGCAAGCAACTAGTTGAGTCACTATTTGACTACCTGATAAGCATATGTTTTTAAGAGTATGCTTATCGGGTAGCTGACCAGTCAGCTAGTCGCTCACATTCCTAATGTAAACCAATACAATCTAGTTTAGTAGATAAGGTAAATTATCAGAATGACTTCTGTAGTCCTAGAAGTGTAACTTTTTATTCTTTTAATTATCTCGCTAGTGGTCTTAAAATATGTAGTTTTAAATAGTGACTATTTTAATAACACTATTATAAAGTAGTCTAGCTAAACAGAGAAAAGGTACATTTAATATTTAGGCTTCAGGTCTTTAGTGGATTCATTATAAAATTATGATAAAATATATAACATCGTTTTGCCAGTAGCCAATAAGATGAACCTGTAAAGCAGAGAACGTATGCTAATGTATCACTTTAATTGAAAGAATATGTATTTACTTCATTTTCTCCTTTTTGGCAGGTATCTTCAATGGGAATAACACCTTTTTTTGTAGAAAATGTCAGTGAGCTCCAATTATGCGCCATCAAACTAGTGACTGCAGTGAGTACTTTTTTACCAGATGACTAAGCTTAAGGATTGAGTGATATTGATGTTTAAAAATAAAATATGGAAAGAAACATTAGTTCATTCATCTCCCCATCAGTGTACATTTTTTCCAGTCAATTAAAGAATTTGAATTTTGAACTCATTTTATTCTGCACATTATATATTTTTGACCTCACAATAGAGGAACATTATTTAATCTATTTGATCCTCTTTGGTTTCTAAATGTATTTATGGCAAGAAATCCAATGGGACATTCCCATGAATTCCAAAACAAAAACATAAGGGAAAATGGAATACATTTTGCTCTTAAAAAACAAAATACAAACAAAAAAAAAAGTAAACAGTTTTGCCCTCAGATATTGTATTCAAATAATTTTATACATACAGTTTTAAATGAATAGAACTTCCTATAATATTGCATTCATATGAAGAAGTGGGTTGTACCCACAAAAGCTCATGGTACTATCTATATTTTGTGCTAATCTCCAAGGTGCTTCAGCACCAGTCTTTAAGGTTTTATTCCTACAGTATGGTCGCATCTAACTTTGCATGATGTTTTTTTCTCTTTTTTTATTTTGTCCTTAAATTCACAACATAAAAACCTATGGCGTCCTAATCTCACGATCATATATTGATATTTTAATGTAATCTGATATAACTGAATATACACATGTAGATCTGTTAAGCTAAAAAAATCCCTTTTGTAGTCATATTTTAAAATAGAACTAGACTTAATCCATAGCTCAAGCTGGATTGTGACACTTACTTTATTTCAAACACAAACAGTTCAAGCAATTTCAAACCAGCAAAGAATAATCATGTATCCAATTTTATTTGCATAATAATTTTGTTTTTTCATTCTAGTTTTAAGTTAAATCACTTGAATGTTTGTATGAACTTGGAGAACCCATTTCTTTTCAGAACTTTCTCTGTTATTTCCCTTTCTCAAGCATAGGCATAATTAGGGTTTGTCAACATGAGGAAACTATTTTGAAATAAGATCGGGTGTGAATTTAAAGCACAATACTTTTAAAGCACAACAACTCCATCCGTTGTTCTGCATTACATCTCCTTCTGCGATTTATCTTCATTCATTGTATTACCTATTCTGGGCTATGTCTTAAAGTAGACCAATTCTTAGTAATCTTTGGCAACCCTGCATGCAGCTCACTTTTATAAAGTCTATATTTAGAATGCACAATACCATTAACATTTTCTATTAAAATATATTTTTTTATAAAAGAGGCTTATAAAATGCATATTAAAAATTAAGTTCTTACTCTAATAGTTGGAAGAGATTCCAGAAGACTGGAAAAGGGCAAATATAGTGCCCATCTATAAAAAGGGAAATAACAACAACCCAGGAAACAACAGAACAGTCAGTTTAACTTCTGTGCCAGGGAAGATAATGGAGCAAGTAATTTAAGGAGTCCATCTGCAAAACATCTGTATGATAATAAGGCGATAGGTAAAGAACAAATCATGTCTGACCAATCTGATAGCTTTGTCTGATAGGATATCAAGCCCGGTGGATGAGGGAGAAGCAGTGGACATTGTATACTTAAACTTTAGTAAGACATTTGACATGTTCTCGCATGACCTTATCAAAAAACTAGGGAAATGCAACCTAGATGGGGCTACTCTAAGGTGGATGCATAACTGGCTGGACAGCCATTCTCAGAGAGTAGTTATTAACGGTTCACAGACATGCTGGAAGGATCTAACAAATGGGGTTCCGCAAGAGTCTGTTTTGGGACAGGTTCCACTCAATATCTTCCTCAGTGATTTAGATGATGGCATTGAGAGTACAATTATTAAGTTTGCAAATGATACCAAGCTGGGAGGGGTTGTAAGTGCTTTGTAGGATCGGATCAAAATTCAAAATGATCTGGACAAACTAGAGAAATGGTCTGAGGTAAACAGGATGAAGTTTAATAAGAAGAAATGCAAAATGCTCCACTTAGCAAGGAACAATTAGTTTCACACATACAGAAAAGGAAATGATTGTCTAGGAAGGAGTACTGCTGAAAGCGATCTGGGGTCATAGTGGGCAACAAGTTAAACATGCGTCAGCAGTGTGACACTTGCAAAAAAAATTATACATGGTTCTGGGCTGCATTAACAGGAGTGTTGTGAGCAAGACACGAGAAATAATTCTTCCACTCTACTCTATGCTGATTAGGCCTCAATTGGAGTATTGTGTCTACTTCTCATTTGAAGAAAGATGTGGAAAAATTGGAGAAGGTCCAAAGAAGAGCAACAAAAATGATTAAAGGCTTAAAAAACATGAACTATGAGGAAAGACTGAAAGAATTGGGCTTTGTTTAGTTTGGAAAGGAGAAGACTGAGAAGGGACATGATAGTGGTTTTCAAGTATCTAAAAGGGAGTTACAAGGAGGAGGGAGAAAAATTGTCCTCGGCCTCTGAGGATAGGTCGAAAAGCAATGGGTTTAAATTGCAACAAAGGAGGTTTAGGTTGGACATTAGGAAAAATTTCCTAACTGTCAGGGTAATTAAACACTGGAATAAATTGTCTAGGGGCAATGTGGAATCTCCATCACTAGAGATATTTAAGAGCAGGTTAGTCGGACACCTGTTAGGGATGATCTAGATAGTTCTTGTTCCTGCTGTAAGGGCAGGGGATTGAACTCTATGACTTCTTGAGGTCCCTTCCAATTCTTTGATTCTATGATAATTTGAAGTAGCTATCACTTTGCTTTTGAGGATAGATTATAAATCATACAAATTATAAATCATGTAGATTAGAATAATTATACAGCAGAGTTAATTTTTGTGCTAGTTTCAAACCCCAGCTTGACTTACTAAGAGGTACGCTTTCTATATTTCATCTATCATTGTATACATGCTCTTTTGGCCTTCTCTACAATGAAGCATGCATGCTTACATAATAGGATCACAGAATAAAAATCAAAACTGTATCCCTGCCTTTTTCTTACGTGATATTCTTGAGTTTTCAGTCATAATGTAAAAACCCCTCATTGTCTCATGTCCTTTACTCAAAGGAACCTTAACAATTTGGTTTTCCTTAATGTATTTTCCAGGTTCATTTGATTTTTACCACCATAATTTCTGGAGCTCTGCATTAGTATAAGACACAGAGCTAGGAATAGCAATAAAGCATTCCATGTATACTTTTTATCTGGATTTTTTTGAAAAATTTTGGTGGAGGGAAATTCATGTTTTAAGGTGATGCATAGAAAAATAAAATTTTAAGGAGTTATATTATGAACACAGAAAAACCCTCTCGGAAAGCTTGCTGTTTATGAAACAAAATTCCTTCTTACTGCTTTTGCAAAGATTAAAGATACACTATGTTCAATGTTTATGAAAGTGAAATCTGGCTATACTAAATTACCCATCACCATGTATTGAAAAAATAGATATATGATTAAAAGGGCAATTTGTGACTATTTTTGAGTGTACAAATTAGGGATGTTAGCATGTAGTTGTTTACATATTAACCAGTAAGCCTGGGCACCTAACAGCTGCCTCTGATTGAGAGTAAGGAGCATGGGAGGGGGGAGGGAAGGAGAGGGTTGGCATGTGGAATACTATACATGCAAGAATCTGGCTTTGAAGCTAGATTTCAAGCTAGCTCCCTGTACGTATAGGGTCCCACAGAACCACCTGCTCACCCATGCAGCTGCCTCTTTATCAGAGGCAGAGGGTGGAAGCTGGTGCTTGCAGTGAGTCGGCTTAAAAGTCGGCTCCCCACAAGCACTGGCTGCTGCTTGGCCCCGCGGTGTAAACATGTAACTGCTAAAAAAAATCAAGTAGTTACACATTTACACAAATAAACGTTAGTTAACATCCTTAGTACAAACTGTTGGCTTTGAGGAAAAATTATGATATGCTATTTTGGTTTTCTGTAAATCATAATCCATTATTCTCCAACTCTCTCTATCTCTCTAAATCCTCTAACTGCTAACAGGTGTTCTCAAGGTATGAAAAACATAGGCAGTTGATACTGGAGGAAATTTTCACTTCACTTGCAAGATTACCAACCAGCAAAAGAAGTTTGAGAAACTTCAGGTAATGTCTAACACAATGGCTGACTTCTATAGAATATTGTTTTCGGTATATAAATGTAGGGGTTTAAATTTTATATGATTCCTTAATGATTGTTATAAAAATCTACAATTCTATGAGATGCATTAATCTCTTAATGAGACCAAGAAAGCAATTCTACAAATACGATTTTTCTTTTCCTGAAAGAACTTTTACAGTGGGAACAAAAGTGGAATAATTATAGAACAAGCAGTCTGTGTCTATAGTGATTATCTGCCTTTCCTTTCCTTGAGTTGCACATATTGACTTGTATGTTACTTTCAAAGGGACAGTTTCAGATAGGCACTAGGTACCTACCTAGAGGTGTAAGTACAGCTAGGAATTTGCTAGGTCCCCCCACCCATCTCAGAATTGTAGTAGCATCTGGTATCCCACAATATACTCGAACTATCATCTCAGAATCCACAAAGCCCAGAAGCAAGACAATGCATCATGAGCTATCTGCCAAAAATGATGTGCGCTTATTTTGGGGGGAAGAAAAATAGTGCCTTATGGTCATGTGGATTCACAGTGAGTAGGTTAAAGCTGATTTTTGGGCACGCTTATTATGATGAGCTATTCTGCAAAAAAACATTTATATGCAAAAATATATTCTGCAAAAACTATCTGATATGAACAACCTTTAATCTCAGACTTTTAAATTAGCTTTGTGTGGCTGTTCCAGGTCAGCTATGTTGAGAGATTTCTCCTTCACCCAGTATGTCTAATTGCTCCTGAAGGCCTTATCATGTGTTTAACCTCTGTCATAGGAAACTCTAGTGTCACACATTCAGCATTATGATTTAAATGCTGGATCATATAATAACAGAGATGAACAGAAGGAATAATATTTGGTAATTTTCTGTGCATTTTATGTGAGTCTAATTTTTAAATAAGATATTTAAGAATGTCAGGGGTTTTTTATAGCAAAAATTCATCTTTAAAGGAATATTGGCATGCAATTTTTATATTTTATTGTTTCCCCCACTCTCAGATGATCTTTAAAATGTTTTTTTTTCTTTGAGTGATGTGCCTCTGTGGGTGCTCCATTATTGGTGATGGGTCATCCCGGAGCCACAGATCAGAGGTTTTCCAGCAATTGTCAGTTGGGCCACACATGCGTGAAAGGTGCCTCATGCCGTTTGCGCCCTGGCGCCTCTCGCGCGCAGCCTGAACCGCCTCCTCCCTCCCCCCCCACACACACCCACCTTTAGTTTTTCCACTTACTACCCTCCGTCTCAGACAGAGCTCATCTCTCGCCGCAGGCATTTGTTCTCCTCTGTAGATAGAACAAAAGACAGGACTATGCAGCACTTTAAAGACTAACAAGATGGTTTATTAGGTGATGAGCTTTCGTGGGCCAGACCCACTGATCTGAGGAAGTGGGTCTGGCCCACGAAAGCTCATCACCTAATAAACCATCTTGTTAGTCTTTAAAGTGCTGCATAGTCCTGTCTTTTGTTCTATCTACAGAGGAGAACAAATGCCTGCGGCGAGAGATGAGCTCTGTCTGAGACGGAGGGTAGTAAGTGGAAAAACTAAAGGTGGGTGTGTGTGGGGGGGGAGGGAGGAGGCGGTTCAGGCTGCGCGCGAGAGGCGCCAGGGCGCAAACGGCATGAGGCACCTTTCACGCATGTGTGGCCCAACTGACAATTGCTGGAAAACCTCTGATCTGTGGCTCCGGGATGATAGTTTGTTTTGTAGTTTTTCTTAGTTTAAGTTCCTTTATTCTACTTCTGTTAATAATAATAATTTTGCTTCTGAAGGGAGCTGCGGAGTAGTGGCAGTATCCTGACTGAAAGTCAAGCCACCCCACTATAGCTCAGCTATCATCCCCATTTTTTCTTTCCCCATTTGGAGAAAAAAAAAATAAAGGAGAGAAGAAGGCAGAGAAAAAGTTACATGGCCTCCCCAGAAATTTTACTTTAGGGCCCACTACCACAACACAATATCAGGCTCACCGGGCTTTTAAAAGTGTGACGCGTGTTGAGACCCCATGCCTGTTTTGGACTCGTGTATTCGTTGCCTAGGGGAAGCTCACATACCCCAAAAATGAGCACTGCTGCATGCCCATGGCAAGAGCCAGGAAGGACAGTGAGCTCCCTGTGATCCTGTTCAAAAAGGCTATGCAGCCAACTCATGAGTCACAGCCCCTTCAACCTCCTATGGAGGCTGTTAAGAAAAGGGCTGCTTCTCCCTTGCCACAAAAACACTTGAAAAAGAGAGCCTCACCAGCAAAATCTCTTCCTCATACCCCGTCTCCTAGGATAAACAAGGGAGACACACCAGGCACCTCCAGTACCGTGGCACCGAGACCATCTACCAGCATCACTTCTGTGACCTCCTACACTGTTTCAGTGCCGACTCAGTCATCCTCGGCACTAGAAAGGTGGCACTGGCATCAACAGCAGCTCAAGACCTGACACCGGTGAAGATTTTGGCACTGGCAGCCAAGCAGACGACCCATAAATCATCAGTGCCGCCTTCGACCGCATCGTCACCCACGTCAGTGCCACCTCCCTCAGGGGCTTCGGCACCGTTAGAAGATCTTCCAGATGACTTGCAGACAGTGCCACCAAGACTTCTCATGAGTCCCTTCCTCCATCTAGGGAACCTACCCCGGTACCTTTTTCATTCTGTATTTCTCTGGGGCTATGTTAGGTATCCAGTGCTGTCTGAGCATACTGCAGTTGGAAAGGATAATCAGAGTGTTTTTTCCTCACAGTGCTCCTTCCTCACTATGGGTATGTCTACACTACCCCGCTAGTTCGAACTAGCGGGGTAGTGTAGACATACCCCTAGTTCTTGAATGCAGGGATTTGGAGCAATCAAGTTTTTGAATTGCTCCTCTCCAGCTCTGCTCCAGCATCAATAGTGACTGCTCTAGCTCTGCTCCGACACTGCTCTGCTCTCCAACTCAAATACATTTTTAACTAAATAAAAAAATGCATACTGTAATTTTGTAAAAACATTATTTTTATTCAGAGTTTTAATACAATTTAGATGTCATCAACAATGATACAAACTAGAATCATTCATAATTCAATCTGTAAAAAATTATTGCAGCAATCAAGTCATCTTTCATAGCCTGCCGCAGATCATTTAAAATTAACTTTAAAGCCCACCACTATTACTCACATCATGACAGACCTCACCATCTTCTTTGGTACTTTGAGTGGCTGTATACTCTGCTTCCCTATCCACCCTACTGGCTGACATGGGAGCACTGGGACTCTTGCAGATGTCGCTCCACAGTTCCGTGTGCCCCAGTGAAGAGACGCATCCTTGCCCCTCGCATCCTTCCGACCACGCATCCTTCCAACCACGGTATATTCAGAGGAAGAAGAGGATCAAATCCCAGGCAAGCAGACCAAGACACAAGCTCCTGGGAACTCTCCTACTGACAGTCAGTCATCAACTGATGAAGCTATGATCCCGGATGATACATATCCTACTGATGACTTGAAGCAGGTCCAAGAACTTTTCAAGAGGGTGCCCATGAGGCAGGAGGTCTAGCTTTAGGAGGTGAAAGAGAAACAACACCGCCTCCTAAGAAACATCCATTCTGCCTCTTGGGTAGATTGCACTGGCCGTCGATGAAGCTATTATGGAGGTATCGGACGCGATATGGCAAATTCACATTTCCATCCGATTGACATGCAAAAGAGCTGATAGGAAGTATTTTGTCCCTTCTAAGAACTTAGACTTCCTTTTTTCTCACTGCAACCCAATTTGCCGGTATTGAACACTGCAAATCACCACTCGAAAACTCCACAATTTAGATCCACACCTAATGACAAGAAGTGTAGAAAACTAGAATTGTGAACTGTTTTGCGCTCCTAGCGAACCATGACAAGTATTCTAAACTAGCTGAATTTATGGAGCATCTCCAAAACTCTAAGAGGCCTATACTTAGGTCAATCATTGCTCGTACAGTTTTGCAGTCATCGTTTGACGTGGCTGACAAAGCAGCTAGGGCAACAGCTACAGCAGTCGTGATGCAAATAGTTTCCTGGCTGCAAGCTGTGGGAGTGCCTAGGGAGTACAGTCTAAGGGGGAGGACCTCCCTTTCAATAAACCAGCTTTATGTGGCCAATACAGATGATGATCTGTATAACAATGAAGACTCCCGAGCCACGCTCTGAACACTGGGCATGTATTCACCACCGTATCAACGGAAGCACTATACCCCGTACAACAGAGACAGTTACTATAAATGTCCACAGCAGAGGTTCTCTGATTATATCCAACCCAGACAATGATCCCAGAGGAAACGTCCACCTTAATCCCATTCCTCAGGCTCCCAGGCTATGAAGCAGCAGATGTGAACCTTCGGTCAAGGGTCTGCACAACCTCCCCATGCATCCAGTGTCAACAAGCCAATGCTTTTTCCACCACAACAAGCCAACTTTTTCGCCCACAGGCTATGTCCCTTTTTCCACCAGTAGGACTCCAAAACATCGGACCAGTGGGTGCTACAAACCATTTGCATGAGATACACCATTCCCTTCGCTTCCTTCTACCCTCGCCCTTACCTTGTCCCTCTTTAGGGACCCCTCCCACGAGACGACTCTGAGACAAGAAATCAATCGTCTCCTCCATCTAAGAGCAATAGAGAGGGTTCCCGACTTATATCAAGGAAAGGGATTTAATTCCAAATACTTCCTGACCCAGAAATGCATAGGAGGTTGGAGACCAATGTTGGATCTCTGCAAATTAAACAAATTCCTCCAAAAACAGCAATTCAGGATGGACACACTGGCTTCCATCATCCTGGCACCAGATGAGGGGGACTGGTTCTCATCTCTCAACCTACAGGATGCATATTTTCACATCACAATGCACCCATCCCACAGATGTTACCTCCAATTCACCATGGATGAGGACCACTTCCAATACAGAGTTCTTTCCTTTGGCTTATCCTCTGCTCTCTGTATTTTCAAAGACCTTCGCGGTAGTGATAGCTTATCTTCAACAGCAGGGGGTTGAGATTTTTCCCTCCCTAGATCACTGCCTCATAAAAGGTCAGTCACATACAGAAGTGACAACATGATCTCTGGGACCAGATACCTGTTTCATCATCTAGGACTCCTTATAAAGGAACAGAAATCAACTCTGGATCCCATTCAGGACATAGAGTTCATTGGAGCTCACCTCAAATCCTTATCTGCCCAAGCTTTTCTCCCACACCATCATTTTGCCACAATACAGGATCTGGTAACATACTGCTCATGAGCTCTTCCACTATTGTACTTACTTGCCTTCACTTATGAGCCATACGGCCACGCACAATGTACATCGTCCAGCACATGCATCTCCATTTCCATGCTCTGCAGCACTTGCTGGTGTCAGTCTATATGCTATCCAGTCACCCACTTCATTAGTTACCATCCCCATGAGTATCTTGGATTCTCTCAAATGGTGGATGTCATCTGACAATCTTCTTGTGGGGGGTCCCCTTGCACCAAACCAAACCAACTGCAGATGACAACAGATGCCTCCCTACTAGGATGGGGCACACACCTACATCATAGTTCACATACATACATAGTTCACAAACTTACAGGCAATATGATGACCGTGTTTTATATAAACATTCCTGATCCCTTTGTGCAGAGGTAATCTGCCTTCAGAACTGGTGCATTCAGCACAGGGTCACCTTGAGGTTGTCATACCTACCTGGTATGAACAGTGCCATGGTGGATGCTTTGAGCTGCAACTTTTCTATGAATCAAGGATGGGAGTTGCACCCAATGGTGTGCGTCTCTGTCTTCCACTGATGGAGATACCCATCAATAGACCTTTTCGCAGCTCACCATAACAGTAAGTGTCCTCACTTCTGTTTCCATGCAGGACTGGGCGAGGGATCATTGGGCAACACCTCCTTAATTCCCTGGAAAGAACCACTACGTTACGCTTTCCCACCAATTCCACTGATCCTGAGAATCCCACGAGGCTCGAGTCATCTTCATAGCTCCTTCATTGTCCAGGCTCCCATTCCTCCAACACATGTCCATCAGACTGCCATATCCACTTCCACACTGCCACGACCTCCTTTCCCAGGATAAAGGCAAATTACTCCACCCTCTACCTAATATCTTTCACCTTCATGCATGGCTCCTATCTGGTCCCACAGTGCCGAATCCCAGTGCTTGGAACAAGTGAGAGCAATTCTCCTCCATAGCAGGCAGCCATTCACCAGAGCCACTTACCTGCAGAAATGGAAGCCGTTCTCTTCCTGGTGTTGGCACGTGCATGTTGATCCTTATACTGCACCGTTTCATTGTGTCCTTGACTACATATTATGCCTGAAGATTGGTGGACTGTTCATCTCCTCAGTCAAGGTGCATCTCGCAGCAGTAAAAGCCTTTCATGAGCGACAGATTGTCTATCTTTGCACATCCTATAACCAGGAAATTCCTTAGGGGCCTCCTGAACCTCTACTATCCCTCCCCCACCCCACATAGGGCCCAGGCACACTCATGGGACCTAAACTTGGTTTTAGATTGTATTATGAGCCCATGGTGACTTTCCCGCTCCCGTTCCTTCTAATAAAGGTACTGTTTTTGATAGCCATTACTTCTGCTAGGAGGGTTAGCAAGATCAGGGCTTTGATGGTGGGCCTACCTTTCTTTGCAAAGGTCAAAGTAACTTTGTGGCCACATCCTTCATTGTTGCTTAAGGGCTGCACATCAACGAATCAATACTTTTATCAACATTCTTCCCAAAGCCACATCTCCTAGAGACGCTGTTCTTCATACAATAGACATTCAATGGGCCTTGGCCTTCTATATAGACAGGACTCAGACCTTTCGTAGCTCTCCATGTCTTTTTGTGTCAATTGCAGAATGCTCGAGAGACATGCCAATCTCAACCTAGCATATTTCTAAATGGATATCATCCTGCATGCTCTGTTATTCTGTCTGCAATAAGCCCTTGACGGCTCCACCAAGAGCACACTTCACCTGTGCTACTGCAATTACTATGGCTTCCCTGAACAATGTTGCCCTTAAAGACATTTTCCAAGCAGCTACCTGGTCATCCAACCATACCTTTGCCGGGCATTATGCCATCATGCCCTACCTTGCAGCTGATACAATGGTTGCTGCATCAGTCCTGTCTTCAGCTGCCAAGTAGTGACTCAGAGTCCCACCATCCTTGCTGAGCACTGCTTTGTAGTAACCAACAGTAGAGAGCACACCAGAATATCGCTCAAAGAAGAAAAGGAAGTTACTCGCTCTGTGAGTAACAACTGTTCTTTGAGATGTGTGTACCTGTGGGTACTCCACATCCCTCCCTTTCTTCCCGCTGCTTGGAGTGTTTGTTACTTGGGCATATGCAAGGATCTAAAGAGTGGTTTGGGTTGTGCATGAGAGGTGCCAGGGAGCAGACAGCATGGGGCACCTTTTGCATATGCATGTCCCAACTGACAACTGCTGGAAAAGCTCGATCTGGTGTGTCCCATCACCAACAGTGGAGCACCCACAGGGGGACACATCTTGAAGAACAGTTGTTACTGCACAGGGTTACTGCACAGGGTAAGTAACTTCCTTTTCCCTGTGTTGTGAAATGGTTGGTTTAATTTTCTTACAGTAGTACTCTTTACATACTATTTCATATCAAGTGCTTTAAGAGTGTTAAAAGAAAGACAGTAAAATTAAAATTATTATTTTATCTTGCCAAAATTACTTTTGTATCTTCATGATCTAGTGATGATGTCATAGATATGAGAATAATTTTAACTGTTGCTTTGGAGTCAGTGTAATGGCTTTGTGAGTACAAACATGATAGATATTGATCATGTTGTTTAATGTGCTATTGAAAGCCGCTCATGTACTAATGAGATGAGTTGTACAATAATCTATATAGGATAAAATTACTTTTTTATGGATCTCTGAAGAGTGGTGCTTATTGTATTTTAAGTTTTGTTTTATTTACTTTAGAATGATTGTTAAAGCTATAGGTAAACATTTAGAGCCCAGAGAACTTTGCTAATCTGGTGTTAATGCTTTAGGTAGGTAGGAGTTATGGTTAGTAGCCCTTTGTATTGTCCCTTTTAACTGTCATGATACATTGTTTTCTTCAACAGGTTAAATAGTAGTGATACTGATGGAGAGCCTATGTATATTCAGATGGTAACTGCACTGGTTCTACAGCTTATCCAGTGTGTTGTGCACCTGCCATCAGTGGAGAAAGATTCCAATTCAGACGAGGAGTCAAACAAAAAAGTAAGTCTCTTTAAAGACGTTTTAAAGTGTTTAATACGTGAGTATGCATTTGTTCTGTGACACTGAACCTATGGAGTAGTGTCCCCTGCATAATAACATCATGCACTAGACAAGCGGGTCTGAAGTTTTTATATATTTAATACTCGACAAACGAATTTTGTTGTTGTTTTTAGGTGGATCAAGATGTCCTTATTACTAACTCATATGAAACAGCCATGAGAACAGCACAAAACTTCCTTTCTATTTTCCTTAAAAAGTAAGTGTTATCACACTCTTTAATTGTGTTTTGATGTGTGTGGTTCATAATTACAATTTTATCTCTGTTACAGACCGAAATGTAGCACTTCCTAAAGTTCTGAAATTTTAATCAAAAGAAATTTTTCTGGAGAAAGTTGGAGTTTGAATTGGAGATGGTATTTTTAAATGTAGGACATTGTAAAAAGAGATTTTTAATTTTAGGAATACTTTTTTTGTGAAGTTCTAGCTTAAAAAGAAATCTCACATTTGCTTTATTCATTAAGTCCCACTGAGAACTATTGCATTCTGAGTTTCTTAGGTGTTCATAGGGTATGTCTACACTACCCCGCTAGTTCGAACTAGCGGGGTAGTGTAGACATACCCC